AGATGCGTTACGAGTCCGCTCGCCTCGAACGCTTGAACCCGTCCTTGCAGAACAACTACGGATATGATATATCTGGCTCGCAGACTTGGAACCCCAACGGGTTTACCAATGCACAAGCTCTCGGAGGAATCCGCTCGGCCTCCGCCAGTTTGAAGCCTAATGCCCGTGGACGTGCCGGCCTCCCCACGGTATGTTTGATCTTATCCGACAATGGACCCCCTCCTCCAAAGGTACGAAAAAGGCGAAAAAGGAAAAAAGTACTAACAGGCTTCTCCAGACTTGGTTGGATCAGCAACCGAATATGCCCCAAGCATTTTCGAATTTGGGCCCTGGTCCCATTCAGAGCAGCGCGATGCGACCGGAAGCCTCCGCGTCCTCTGCAGATGACGACGAATTGATCCCAACCGCGATTGTCATCAAGAATATCCCCTTTGCCGTAAAGAAGGAACAGTTGGTACAGTTGATGACGGAACTCAACCTCCCCCTGCCCTACGCATTTAACTATCACTTTGACAATGGTGTCTTCCGTGGTCTGGCCTTTGCCAACTTCACTTCCGCCGAGGAAACAGCAACCGTGATCGAGGTGCTCAACCACTTTGAGCTACAGGGTCGGAAATTGCGAGTCGAGTACAAGAAGATGCTTCCCCTGCAGGAGCGCGAACGGATCGAGCGTGAGAAGCGGGAACGCCGTGGCCAGTTGGAAGAACAGCACCGCCCGATGGGAGGTGGTCCGCAGCTCCAGACGCAGAGCTCCATGTCTTCACTCACCTCGCACATCCCGGCCACCTCCCCTTCGCCCGTGTCCCAGCGTGGCCAAAAAATTGGTGCGTTACACATTCGTTTTAAGGTTATTGAAATCTCGACCTGTCGCTAACCATGTCTTTTTTAATACAGATGTGGACTTGAACGACACCCAGACCCTTTCCTACTACTCCCAACTACTCCTGTTCAAGGAAGATACTGTCCGCGATTCTGTGATCTTCCCCCACAACCTCACCCCCTCCCAGCGTCGCACCGTTCACACCCTGGCCCACAACATGGGCTTGGGACATGCTTCACGTGGCAGCGGCGAGCAGCGCCAGGTGCAAGTCTTTAAGATCGCCGCAGGTGCCAATGTCAGCCCCCCGACGTCCTCAATCCCGCCCTCTGGCCAGTCAGACAGTGGTCGCCGCGGCCTTAACCGGGCGGCGACCATTGACTTCGGCGAGGCTCGCCAAGAGGCTGGCCCTGGCGCTTTCAACACCTTGCGTGGACAGAACTCGGGCTTTCTGGGCGTGATGGACTCTCCTGGCAACTTCGCCAACGGCCAGAACCTACGGGCTGCCAAGTCCTTTGCCGACCTGCGATCTTACACTCCTTCGCCCGTGCCTTCCTCCGCTAGCTTCCCCGCCGCGTTGCAGTCCAACGGCGCCCGCCTCCAGTATGAGGGTGCGCCCACTGGTACTTCCAACACCCCGACCCTCACCCCTGTCCAGTCTGGCTCCTCTCTTGGAATGCAGCGTGATGACAACCTGCTGGTCAACAGCCTGGGCGGTCTTTCCCTCGGCACCGGTATCGGTGGCCCCAACTCGAGCCCTCGTCGCTTAAGAGGCATGTTCTCTTGGGAGCAGGACAGCCAGCAATCCAACGCTGGCGCCATTGGAAGCAACCGTGGCATGGGTATGGGGTATGACGGCCAGCAGGAGCGCATGCCCGTCCGCCAACCCCGCGGCCCGACCCCCGACAAGGGCCCCGGGTTTCGCCGTCAGAACGGCCACCAAAGCCGCGGAAGTGATGAACTCCGCACCAACTCCGGAGTAGAGATTATTGTGGAGTAGAACATTGGACGAATTTATTGAAGATGGCGACTCCCCTTTTTATTGCCAGCATCCGACTGATTTGCCGCGAGATGAATACGACTTGTATTACGAGTCCCTGTTCTGCGAATTACCGGCTTACGATTCGATGAGGGATGACGAGATGACAACAACACAAAAAAAAAGACCAGAAAATCCTCTGTTTCGCTGATCTAGCCAAGTTTTAGACGTTTCTTTCTTTTTGGGGCAGCCCAAGACACGCGGTTTCGATGAACGCTTTTGAACTTTTCCCCGACTCACACAGTTTCAAGAAGACTCTGGACTTGTTCTGGACTGATATTTTTTTTATTTCCAACACTTTCTGATATTGCGGGCGCCTTGCATGCAAATCCATGGATTTCTATTTATGCTGTGTCGGAACGAACTCCACGACCCCGAACGCCTCTTGGTGATATGGGATGCATACGAAGAATGACACAAAAGACCTTTTGCCGATGGCAGAAGAAACGACAATACCAGCATTTTGCATATTCTTGTCTGTTTTAGTTTGTACATGGGGTGACTCGCATCCGTTTTAATGTTTCTGGCCCGTCTTACCCCGACAACCGCTTTCCCCTAATCTTTCGGGGAAATTCATGTTCGATCTGTCCGGGTAAGGCGGTTGTGACATGCCTGTTTCTTCATTTTTACTTTTTTGCTTTCTTTTCCGCGTGCTTTGACTGCTTTCCCCTTGGTCGTTCGTCTCGCGGAATGGTGATCAGGGTCCACTGCTGTTTCTGAAACAGCTATATAGTGGTTCTGCTGCCTTCGATTGTGCCGATTCTACAGATCTACCTTATGCAGTGTGGATGCATTTTCTGCATTCCTGTGTCAGTGATGTTGATATATTTTTCCAACTCCCATTCTGAAGGGCTCTATTCCTCTTCCTGTTTGGTGTCTTTGCAGTCCAGCAATTTCTTTTTTTCCATTGCCTTTGCCTTTGTACTCAGCTTCTCACTGTTCAATCCATCTACCTTCAACCTGACTTCTATCCTACCAGTAGGTGAGTCGAGATCATAGTTGTGTGTAAATATTCTGACAATAGAACCTCTACTCTGTACTTCCAATCTGAATTTCCAATAGTAAAAACGAACCTATCAACCCAAAATATAGATGCCAAGAACAAATGACGCGGTTCCGTTGCGTTGTTTATCGTAGTTATGCATATTTGTCCCTGTCGATCCCCCGTGGAGCCAACAAAGTTCGTGACTTTATATGCAAGGTCAAGTGTCTATCAATATTTGACCCCTCAGGAATGTGATAATCGGTCCGATCACGGAAGCATTATCCCGGGATTCGACTGCGTGAAAGTCTACAATACATAATCCTACAATTACTATAATTAGTGAAAGGTGAAGCACAGCGAATCAGTAAAATTCCCACTACCAGGATATCCCCATTTTCCCATTACAGCGCCCTATGAACTCGAATGAAAAAAAAGCAGGTTTGAAAGCAAAGACCAGGGAATATCAGAAAAAATACATCAAAGTAGAGCGCCATGAAAAACAAAGACGAGAGGACTGAAAAAAAGGGCGGCCGGGATTGGTCGGAGGGTTGGGAGTCGAGGTGTTGAGGTCTCGACTACTCCCGCTGCCAGCCCATTTTTTCCCGGAACTTTTCAGAGGTTGATTTAGAGCTCGATCTTGCCACCCTTCTTCTTTTGCTCGACCTTCAGGAGCAGTGCACGGTTGATGCGGGGAAGGACACCACCGAAGGCGATGGTTGCGCGGATGAGGGTGTCCAGTTCTTCATCACCACGGATGGCAAGCTGGAGGTGGCGAGGAGTGATACGCTTGACTTTGAGATCCTTGGCGGCATTACCGGCCAGTTCGAGAACTTCGGCAGTCAGGTACTCAAGAACAGCGGTCACGTAGACGGCGGCTAGGTGGGAAAATGTATTAGCGACAGGTCACGTCGGAGATCCGTTCAAGCGACATAGCATACCCTTAGCACCGACACGCATCTTGTTTTGGGTGTTGTTCTTCAAGAAACGCTTAACACGGCCACATGGGAACTGGAGAGTGAAAATGGATTAGTAGCCGCGTCATTTGAAACCGTTGGCGATTCGAGGAAAATATGGTCGGAAGAGAGGGCATGCGACGGCATGTATATCGAAAGAAACTACCCCTTATCGAACAGCAACGAGGGACCGAGTCGACGCGTCTTCGAGGCAGTTTCATCGAGTAACTCATCGCCCGTATCGCTTTACCACTCTCAGATGAAATGATTCCTAGCCAAGTAATAGACAAGCCATGATCCCACTAACCTGCAGACCAGCCTTTGCGCTGTGAGACTTTTGGGCTTTCCCCGCAGCATCACCCTTTCCACCCTTTCCACCGATAGACTTTCCCTTTCCACCAGCCATTGCGAAATAAATGTGCGAAGACGGTCGCAGAGGTAGGTACAGCAGATAGAAACAGAAATCGAGACGATCTGGCAATGGTGGGGATGTGGAGGGGATTCAGAGTGCGGAAAATACGCGCGTTGTTGATGGATGGAGAAGTCAGAATGTGCCAGGCGCCGACTGTGCCAAAAAGACACTTGGCGCTAGTCCCAAAAGGGAACCGTTCTTTCTCAGCATTCGGTTTCTTGCCTGTATAGATGGCCCTCTGTGGAGCCATTTGAATGGTCTAGAAATCAGTTGCTGTGAGGGTCATCACTTGTTTTCTCTTTCTCAAAAATAGACAGAAGCCATAGTTAGTTTTGGTATTCGAGGAGATCATGACGGAAGCCAAGTGTGGCCTTGAGCCGTCCGATTGCAATGGAGGTCTCCGGCATCTATGGCCGTATTCGCATATGAAACTCCTGTAGTTGTCATAATCCACACCATTGTGCAACTCTAAGCCAAAATAGAAGTTCACTGGTGTGGTGGTGCTGATGTTTTGCAAATAAGCTGGTCTGGTTTGAAGCTGGACCATCACAGCTACCAGCTACCGGCAGTGGGAGAGGTCACATGACATATTAGCCTTATGTATCAGGCTACAAGATAAAATGCCTCAGGCCATCAGATGGCGATAGCGGATAGATCGCGTCGGGATAACTGTTCTTCCGACTCCCTGACCTTCCAGAAATGCCAGGTGGCCCGCGGCTTTCAATTTTGTTCGCGTTGTCTCCCCCATACTCAACGATTTCCCCGTATCGAAAAGTGTCCAAGTGTCCGGCAAAATGGTGTCTCCTCAAATGTATGCTTGATCGACAATTGTTCGATTTAAATCGAACATCTATCCTTGCCAAAACTGACCATGGTCGCACAGTACCAACCTCGCCATCATCTTGGTGATGATGCAGCTGTCCAAGAAGGTTCCCTTTGAGGACCCTCAAGTCTTGATGCTGGTGCGCGCATGCTATATCCTGTCTAATCTTCTCATCCTGGCTGTCCACCTGTACACCCACCTGAAGATCAACCAAAAGAAGGGTATGTCGATCGATCGCGTGCCCCATGACCAAAAACCAAAACTAACGCGATACCCCCAGACATGACAACCCTCAAGTACGTTGAGCCCCCCACGATGGGTAGCACCGAGGAGCCGAAGCCCGTGACGACCACCAACATGGACTACGACAAGGCTCAGCTGCGCCAGCTGATCCGCAGCCAGCTGATGGGTGTCGGCATGATGGGCGTGATGCACCTGTACTTCCAGTACACCAACCCCCTCCTCATCCAGTCGATCATCCCCCTCAAGGGCGCTTTCGAGTCCAACCTGGCCAAGATCTACGTCTTCGGCAAGCCCGCTACTGGTGATCTCGCCCGTCCCTTCAAGGCCGCCGGTGGCTTCATGTCCCAGGGCGGACCCAAGAGCGATAAGGCCTCCATCGAGGCGGCCGAGAAGAACTGGCGCGGTGGTGTCAAGGAGGAATAAATACAAACGCTGGGTTGCTCTAGGCCATCAATTGATTTCCCCTAGCTATGGGTATTCGATGGCCGATTTGAATGATAGCACACTGTTCATTTCTCCCCATTGTATCATAATCCATAATTCATCCTTTTTTCAAGTCCAGACCCTCCTTTTCTGGGTCGGGCCTGGACTATATCTTTAATCCTTCTTGAATCCTGTGGTCATGCCATCCCCCAGATTGTACGATCTAGATCCTGTACAAAAGGACGCTCAGTCGTGGCACCTATCTGGACATTGCGCCACTGGTGTATCGGCTCCGCATCCTACGTCGATATGGGCTGATGAGGTCTGGGCTCCCACAGCTACCACCTAGGCATGAGGGATTACCAGTGAGGTATCCCAGGTTGTAGGATCTCATTTTGTGATTGGTGCTGTTGAGGCATTTGATCATCATCCAATGATTAGAATAGTTATTGGGTACCCCAGTAGTCATACCCCTCCAAGCTCAAATGAAATAATTCCAATCAACAAATAAAAAACCATGAGAGTCTCGTGGCCCCATGTGAGATACCGGTGACTCCTTTCAGGGCGGAGGGAGCCACCAAGTTATATCACCATACTCGATCCGTCCACCGCAGTGGTTTAAGCGGCACGGTTGGCCCGCCAAAGTGGAGGAATCGAGCGTTTCCGTTCGAAAGAAGATAATAATAATGATATATTTAATTCTACGGGTTTAACTGGACAATTCCTTCTATATGTTGTAGACCTATGTTGTATCACTTACATTCCTGCCCCTCATCGACCCCTCCAAACCACATCGTCATAGCTTCCTTAGTCAACCTCGGGAACGCCTACAGATATTTGTACCTAAGATTATCGTGCTCATCTCCGTATACCCGAATATAGGCACCGAATAGGCAAAAGATTCAAGAGAAAGCTCCGAAGTGTAGTGAGAACCCGAAGAGCAGTTGGGTCTAGCGGGCTCCTATTGGTAGACGGGAGCTACCGAGGGGCAGATGAGGACCCCAATATCGTGGCTCTTCCTGCTTTCCCCGGTGTATGAAACCGGAAATGGGTTGCTGGGCGGATGTGCCAGCGGCAACATTCGGGAAATCTAGCTCGGTCTGATCTGACGGGCTGTGTGGGAGTGAAAGGGTTGATTCGGTGAGACCGGGGGGGCGTGATCTGTCCATTGCGTCAGTCATCCATTCATTAATCCTCCCCCTCCCCCAGATATTTTTTCCTCTTCTTCTTTTCTCTCTCCATCCCACTTCTTCCCCTTTCTTCAATTACTTCACTATTACAGTACGTCCATACCTTCTCTATCCTTCCTCGTCTGTCCTTCCTCTACCTGAGCTAACAGCTTCTAGTAAACCGCAATCATGGTTGTCAAAGTCGGTATCAACGGTTTCGGTCGTATTGGCCGCATTGTAAGTCCTTCTCTGGATCATCACAGTTCAGTTTCAGTTACTAACAGCATCACAGGTCTTCCGCAATGCGTAAGTTACAACCCGCAGGAAGAGAGAGAGAGAACAAAATGACCCGAGAACCATCCTAACCCATCCTCAATATAGTCTCCTCAACCCAGACGTCGAGGTTGTCGCTGTCAACGATCCCTTCATTGAGACTCACTACGCTGTATGTTTCTGGCCAACCCAACCGAGTGTATACCCGATATTAACCTCCCGTCGGAATAGGCCTACATGCTCAAGTATGACTCCACCCACGGTCAGTTCAACGGCACCATCGAGTACGTTGATGACGGTCTCATTGTCAACGGCCACAAGGTTGCCTTCTTCGCCGAGCGTGACCCCTCTGCCATCCCCTGGGGTAAGGCCGGTGCCGACTACATTGTCGAGTCCACCGGTGTCTTCACCACTCAGGAGAAGGCCAGTGCCCACTTGAAGGGTGGTGCCAAGAAGGTCGTCATCTCCGCTCCCTCCGCCGATGCCCCCATGTTCGTCATGGGTGTCAACAACAAGTCTTACACCAAGGATATCAACGTCCTCTCCAACGCCTCTTGCACCACCAACTGCTTGGCTCCTCTTGCCAAGGTTATCAACGATAACTTCGGCATCGTCGAGGGTCTCATGACCACCGTCCACTCCTACACCGCCACCCAGAAGACCGTCGATGCTCCTTCCAACAAGGACTGGCGTGGTGGCCGTACCGCGGCCCAGAACATTATCCCCTCCTCCACCGGTGCCGCCAAGGCTGTCGGTAAGGTTATCCCCGAGCTCAACGGCAAGCTCACCGGTATGGCCATGCGTGTCCCCACCGCCAACGTCTCCGTTGTCGACCTCACCTGTCGCCTTGAGAAGGGTGCTACCTACGATGAGATCAAGGCCACCATCAAGGCCGCTTCCGAGAGTGGCGAGCTCAAGGGTGAGTTATCTTTTTTTCGATCACGTCTACAACCCATATTGACAAACTATTTTAGGTATCCTCGGCTACACTGAGGACCAGGTTGTCTCCACCGATCTTAACGGTGACTCGCGCTCCTCCATCTTCGATGCCGCCGCCGGTATCGCCCTTAACCCCCACTTCGTCAAGCTTGTCTCCTGGTACGACAACGAGTGGGGTTACTCTCGCCGTGTTGTTGACCTCATCTCCTACATTGCCGGTGTGGATTCCCAGTAGGAATCAGGACCCCGTCATGGGGTCAAGAGTGTTCTTTAAGGTGCTGAGCTCCTTGTTCCACAGCCTACGGATATGGGTGCATGAGGACTCCGCCTGGTAGAAAAAAACAAGATGATAACGTCATTTAATGAAACCAACCATTTCCAATTCATTTTTCTCCAATCTGCTATAGGGCTGTACGATCGTAATCCTTTTGGTTGGAGTGACTTTGCCTCCATATACAATCAATCTAATCCGGAGGCACTTTCACATTTGCCAAAATTAAGCTTTTGCATGTTGTTGACCATTGGAAGTATGCTGCATGTCTTATCTACCTGCACATGTACCTATGTACATACATGTAGCTGGGTACATCACATGTTATATATGGAAAAGTCGTTTTGTAGCATTATGCCTTCCACCAAATTCCATAGTAAGAGAAGATATCCAAGAAAATTTATACAAAAGACATCATCTTCAATGTATCATAGCTGGATCACTTCTAGCTAACCTTAGAACTATGTAAATACCTAGTTCATCAAGTATAGAGGCCGCTTATACGGCCGACTGTTCTTATCCATGTACCTTGGAAGGTTGTTGATAACGATAAGTCAGCACATACTAAATGCTCACCGCCAATTATAATGTATCACGCCAATCCATTCCTAGCGGCGGTCAATTTGGCGGTGACTTCATGAATGTCTGGCAATAAGAAAGACTGGCCCAAAAGGGATCCAATGATCCATTCCCTTGTCTCTTTGTCACTCAGTGGACTTGGATTCTGTTCTTCATTTTTACCCACTACATGAAGGCCTAAAATTGAATCTCTCTTAGAAATTATTCATTTGAAGATCACTCTTGCTTCATTATACTGTGGGTGCATTGCAGCGTCAGTCGAATATACGGCAGGAGACGTTGGTATACCACCGTATGCTTGCTCAAATCACACCTTCAGACATCCCTATAATATTTGGTGAAACAAAATCTTTGTTCAACAAGTGGAACATTTGACCGATTGATATATTTCACATTCTGCTGTGCAAAGCGCATTCGACAGCGTGGACCAGGAACATCAACCGAATCACTATTACTTTGATATTGAGCTCCAAGATTGCCAACACAAGCTCAACACCTCTATTGTGGTAGTGCTTGGTAATGAGCTAATAATAGCCAAGCTTGAATTATATCAAGAGCTTCCCGCGGCTTCCCCTCTCATGATGGACGAAGAGGAGGATACAGTTATGGGTGATTCCCATACCACCTCCACCTTGACTGCAAACCGATTCCATCTTCCCACGCATCTCAGCAATCACCCGACTCCCAATCTTCCTCCTTCTTCCATTCACCAAGCGATTCCTGCATCCTTATCACCTGGCTCCGAGCAATCTCAACCTCCGGTGACCATCGCCTCCACCGGAATGGCCCCTCCTGAACATTTGACCAAGATCGGTGAGGGTGATATTTTCACCGTCGAACAGTTGTCAAAACGTGATAGCCTAGTTGAGCCCGACTCTGACTGGTCTGACGACGAGGTCATGGCTAAGGCGGGTCTTCCACTGGCGTCGCTTGCCTCAGGACTTTGTTATGATCCTCGCATGCGTTACCACTGCGAGGTTTGTCCACAGAGCGACGTTCATCCAGAGGATCCCAGACGCATCTACTACATCTACAAGGAGCTATGTCGCGCCGGTCTTGTTGACGACCCAGAATCGAGTCGGCCTTTGGCACCCAAAACCTTGCAACGGATCCAGGCTCGCAATGCAACCGAGGAGGAAATTACCCTCGTCCATGATGAAGCGCACTACGCATTTGTTCGAAGCACAACAGGTATGTCTTGCTACTACCGGAAAAGCTGGCTTGGATAGATTCACTGACTCGATCAATAGATATGGCCAACGATGAACTTATTCAGCTCGAAAAGGAACGTGACTCCATTTACTTTAATAATCTGACCTTCGCTTCGGCCATTTTGTCTACTGGAGGCGCAATCGAGACGTGCTTAGCCGTCGCCCAACGTCAGGTGAAAAATGCTATAGCCGTCATTCGCCCACCCGGTCATCATGCCGAGCATGATTCTGCGATGGGATTCTGTCTATTCAACAATGTGTCTGTTGCAGCACGCGTTTGCCAAAATAGACTAGGAGACGCTTGCCGGAAGATCATGATTCTTGACTGGTCAGTAGTACCCCACATCACCGTTTGGTCACTGCAGAAATACTAACTTGTGCTAGGGACGTTCACCATGGTATGCTTAGACCCATAGTATGACAGTTGAAAACAATCCAAGCTTACATATCTTAGGCAACGGCATCCAGCAAGCATTTTACGAGGACCCTAATGTTCTTTACATTTCCATGCATGTCTACCAAGACGGTCGCTTCTACCCTGGAGGCCCTGCTGGAGACTCGGATCAATGTGGCTCAGGCGCCGGAGTCGGAAAGTGAGTTTTCCCTCAAGCATATGAATGAAATGACTAAAGTCTCACGCTTCTAAGAAATGTCAATATTCCATGGCCCGACCAGGGTATGGGCGATGGCGATTACATGTTCGCCTTCCAGGAAGTGGTGATGCCCATTGCCCAAGAATTCGATCCCGACATGGTGATTGGTGAGCATACCCCCTCTTTTTATCTAGTATAGAGTTATTGACCATGACAGTCGCTGCTGGGTTTGATGCTGCCGCTGGCGATGTACTGGGTGCCTGCTTTGTCTCGCCAGCTTGTTATGCCCAAATGATCCACATGCTCATGACTTTGGCCAATGGAAAGGTCGCTGTTTGCTTGGAGGTATGTCAATTGCCTCTCCAAATTGTTGCTTGCTTGATCTGACGTTGAAACAGGGTGGATACAACTTCAAGTCTATCTCCAAGTCGGCTCTGGCTGTGACCAAGACCCTTATGGGGGAACCCCCGGACCGTTTGTTGAGCAGTTCTCCGACAGACTCTGCGGTCGCAACAGTCCGCCGGGTGAGGAGCATCCAATCCCAGTATTGGAGTCGCCTGTACCCCAAGACATCTGCTCACCCGGTCTACGCGAATCGTCTTCACGGTAAGAATTATAGACTATCTCTTGCTCAACAGAGCTGATAAGCCCTCTAGATATCCTCCGTGTTCACCAGTCGAACCAGCTGTATGAAACCTGCAAGCTCACCCCGCTCCACATTTATCGCACCGCCATTTCCAAGTCCTTTGACAAACAAGTTCTGGCAAGGTAAGTTGCACCGAACCTTGATATCCTAACCTGGACTCACCATCTGGCAGCACAAACTATCACGAACGTGTGCCGCTTGTTGTCATCTTCCACGATCCGTAAGTGTTCCGATAATCAACCGCCAAAGCTATAACTGACAGTACCTAGCCCTGAGATTGTGGGACAGGCTCATCCCGTGACCAATAAGTTGGAAGCGCACAATGTGTGGCTGGTACGTCACCCAAGATGGTTGACTGAGATTGTCCGCTAACATAACAAAAGGCCGATTCGCTCTCGGATTATGTGAAATGGATCGTGGGCAAGGGCTACGCGGTGATCGATGTTAACATTCCCAAGTTCATAACTCGGAAGGAGGTAAGTCAAGCTATGTACCCCTTTATACGGGCAATCAACTAATTTGGATGGGTTTAGACTGCCGGTAAATACCAGGTGGACGACGAGGACCGCCCGTCTGCCACCGAAGAGCTTGCCGGATACTTGTGGGACAACTACATCGAGTGAGCGATGACCAGCGAAGGACATTGATTAATATTGAGCTGACAAGTTATCAAAGTGCGAACCAGGCAACCGAAATTTTCCTGCTCGGCGTCGGCAACGCTTTCATTGGCGTGTCGAACTTGCTAATCAACAGGGGTATGTTTAGGCCAATCGGATATCCGGCTATGCAGCTTTGCTAATAACCAAGCAGAAAACCTTTACAAGCGTGTCAACGGCGTGATCTCCTTCGTGTCTGTAGACCCCGTCCGCGCGGTCGCATCCCAGACGCAGACGTGGCTCTCGAAGTGGTACCGCGAGGTAAGCCACCCACAATATATTTGTCAATGATATACATTACTCACGCTATTATTTTCATTTTAGAACTCCCTTGTGTTTGTTTCAGACTCCCATGGTATTTGGACTAGCCTGGACCGACGGCCTTCCAAGCGCTACGGACAGCTGGTTCATTCCCCGAAAACGGACCTGAACGAGATGCTTGACGAGCATAAGGAGGAAGTGTTCAAGTGGATATCCGATCGTGCTGACCGGGCAGAGGAGGACTCAGACGAAGATTCGTGATTGCTTTTACTGGTTCCTGATCGATTCGGCGAGTGTGAACCGTAGAATTTCCAAGGCTGTACATGGTGTTATGCGGTCTGTTATCGAAGAACTCTCTTTTCATACCCTAGTAATGACATGAAATTATCTTGCCAGTCCTGTTACTATATTTGCTTATCATTTCTCAACGAGGGAATTCCCCCGCAGATAAAAATAGGTTAGGGGAAAACATTTCTCTCTTTGATATTTGTCGCCTCTAATACTTTCTCGTCCACCGCCACCAGAGAAGACGTCAGGTGTGAAGTCCCCGGGCCCCTCTGCAGCAGTGATATCAGCACGGCTTTGGAGTTTTGAGACATTTGGGACTTCACTGTGACACATCACCAACCATGGCTCTAGAGCTTAGTAGTCTCCAAGAAAGAGAGGCGAGTATGAGCTGATTTCCGCTCGATTTAGACATACATATCGTATAATTACTTTCTCAGTATGGCGTTGATCTGCGTGCTGTCCCTGGATGTATGTACCAATGTCTCACTTTTTACCCCAGAAATCCAGGCGTGACACAATTCGTTCCGTAGTTATGCCAGAAAGCCCTTGGTTTTTCTAGCTCTCCACACTTGGCATGCAAAGGCAGAAAAGATCATGCTAATCTCATAATTGTTGCTCTTGCCTATGCAATGTATACATCCAATGATCGGGTCGGAGCGCTCGGAGACATCGTATTCTTTTCGCTACACCCATGGACCCTTTTCTCTCTCGCATCTCCACTGACATCAATGTTGGAAAACTGTTGGCCGTGTGATGCGGGGATTTGGTAAGATCATACGAAAGGACGGATGGCCTGACCACTGCCCAAGTGGTTAAGGCTTCAATAGGTTGATTTGGGATAAGGTGTCTTGGATTTGGTGAGTAACCGTCATTCTTTCCATTAGCAATCCTTTTAGAATCTAGTTTATGCTCGTATCAAAGGAGAACCAGGTATAGGCTGAAAATTGATGCTCAATCCATCAGCGAAACTATATAAGGGGCTTCGAATCCTACCTGAGAGAGATATTCTCATCACTTCGAACAGACTTCATTACTTGACCTCAAGCCAACTAAATCCTACCAATATGCACTTTTCCACTGCCGTTATTGCCTCCGTTGCCGCCATGGCACCGCTTGCTAGCGCCGTTGGCAACGCTATCGTGACCAACCACTGCCAATTCCCAGTCTACCTGTGGTCCGTTGGTGGCAGTGTTGGTCCCAAGCAAACCATCCCGGCGGGTGGCAGCTACACCGAAGCTCTGCACCACGACAGTGCCTCCGGTGGCATCTCGCTAAAGATCACCACCGTTGACAACGGTCTATACAACGGCAGCCCTCAGACCAACTTTGCCTACACCCTGGACCCAGGCACGGTTTGGTACGACCTGTCAGATGTCTTCGGTGACCCATTCTCCGGCAAGTCGATTGTCGTGCGGCCCACAGACACAACTTGCTCGAACATCTGCTGGGCGCAGGGTGTCAACCCCGGTGGCAGCCAAACAAAGAACTGCAACTCCGACACTAGTGTCAACCTGGACCTCTGTGCAGCCAACTGCTAAGCGCCCGGATCCATACATATGTGATAGCTCGATATAATGGTGGGGACCGTGTCCACTAGCCCCTGTGTTTTGACCTGCGGAGCTGCGGGGAAAGGTAGAGCCTCGACGTGGAGCCACCCAGGACCCTGCGATGTATGTAGCTATCTGTTAATGGGAATAATGTTATATTTTTAAGTCTAATCCTGGTCGGATACGAGTCTGCCTTGTTTGGAAAAACGCCATCGGTAGATGAGAGCGCGTATTAGGGCTACGAGGGCCTATCACCGCCTCGAGCAGCTGGGCAGTATTTCCACCAGGCCCGGCTGGATCAACATCGCTTGTCTCCCAGTCGACTTTACAACATCCATCACCCCGGGGCCCCTCCATTTGGTTTATAATCCCATTCAATACATATCGAAGCATATATTAACGCGTCTCATTCTTAGACCCTCTGGAATTCCTAGGTGCATTGACCTTATCAGTCACGTCATTGGCCTCTCCCTCTCCCCTCGGCAACTGAATGCCTCCAAGGTCCTCTGCAGCAAACCTGTGTCACAAAGGTCTCATTCGCAGCTCAACCCGCCCTTGTCCCGATTTGTTGTCACGTATTACTGTGACCAGTATTCGTTCAGCGCGGCCCGTACCTTTACAGATTCTTTCTTCCGTCCTTTGGACCCGCCGTTCATTCTCCCATTCAACCCCAAACTTCACCGCCACACCCCCGACCATGGCTCAAATCGAGCGTATTACAGAGAACTTGGAGAGACCAGAGCTTGATGATCGTTCTTATCGGGTCATCCGTTTGCCAAACAAGCTAGAGGCCCTCCTAGTTCATGACCCGGACACCGATAAGGCCAGTGCTGCCGTGAATGTCAATGTTGGCAACTTCTCTGATGAAGATGATATGCCAGGAATGGCTCATGCCGTAGAGCATTTGTTGTTTATGGGCACAAAAAAGGTAAATTAACAACCTACAACCTAAAATCTACCACTGCCACCATATTCCTAGCCAGGGTTAACCAGATCCCTGTTGTTTAGTACCCGAAGGAAAATGCATACAACCAGTACCTGGCGTCCCACTCTGGTTCGTCCAATGCCTACACAGCCGCCACTGAAACGAACTACTTCTTCGAAGTGTCCGCCACAGGTGACTCCAGTGCCCCGAAATCCAGTGGAGACAGCACCCCTGCCGAGACGAATGATAACAATGGCGTGTCAAATGGGAGTGCCTTAGATGGGAAGTCGCCCCTCTATGGCGCATTGGATCGGTTTGCCCAGTTCTTTGTTGCCCCGCTTTTCCTAGAGTCAACCCTAGACCGGGAGTTGCAGGCGGTGGATTCGGAAAATAAAAAGAACCTTCAAAGTGACCTGTGGCGTTTGATGCAACTGAACAAGTCGCTTTCAAACCCTAAACATCCCTACAGCCACTTCTCGACTGGTAATCTGCAGACCCTGAAAGAAGATCCACAGAAACGTGGTCTGGAAGTCCGCAGTGAGTTCATCCGCTTCTACGAGAAGCACTACTCGGCCAACCGGGCGAAGTTGGTTGTCCTAGGACGAGAATCTCTGGACACCCTGGAGGAGTGGGTCTCCGAGCTCTTTTCCGATGTCAAGAACAAGAACCTGGCTAAGAATCGCTGGGACGGTGTTCAGCCATTCACTGAGAAGGACATGTGCACCCAGGTGTTTGTCAAGCCGGTTATGGATACTCGATCCATGGATATGTATTTCCCCTTCCTTGACGAGGAGGAGATGCATGAAACCCAGCCTAGCCGTTATATCAGCCATCTGATTGGCCATGAGGGCCCGGGCAGTGTTCTTTCTTACCTCAAGACCAAGGGGTGGGCCAATGGTTTGTCTGCAGGCGCCATGCCTGTCTGCGCTGGGTCTGCATTTTTCACTATCTCGGTGCGCTTGACCCCCGAAGGTCTAAAGAAATACCAGGAAGTCGCAAACGTCGTCTTCGAGTATATCGCCATGATCAAGCAACGCGAGCCCGAGCAGTGGATCTTCGACGAGATGAAGAACCTTGCCGAGGTCAATTTCCGGTTCAAGCAGAAGACCCCGGCTAGTCGCTTCACCAGCCGGTTGAGCAGCGTTATGCAAAAGTCACTGCCTAACGAATGGCTTCTGAGCGGGTCTTTGTTGCGACGATTTGACTCTGACCTGATCAAGAAGGCGCTGAGCTATCTGCGGGCTGACAACTTCCGCCTGATAGTTGTGTCCCAGGAGTTCCCGGGTACATGGGATCAGAAGGAGAAGTGGTATGGTACCGAATACAAGGTCGAGAAGATTCCACAGGAGTTCTTGGGTGGTCTTCAAAAGGCTCTAGAGTCGACTGAGGCTACCCGTACTTCCAACGTGCACATGCCTCACAAGAACGAATTTGTACCGACCAGACTCTCGGTAGAAAAGAAGGAGGTTGCCGAGCCAGCTATCAACCCTAAGCTGATTCGCCATGACGACCGGGTGCGCCTGTGGTTCAAGAAGGATGACCGTTTCTGGGTGCCCAAGGCCAGTGTCGAGATAACGCTCCGCAATTCATTGGTGTGGGCCACGCCTGGCAATCTCATCAAAACAAAGCTGTACAGCGAGTTGGTTCGGGATTCGCTAGATGAATACTCCTACGACGCCGAGCTTGCTGGCTTGGATTACAATCTATCGGCGAACATTTTGGGATTGGACATTTCCGTGAGCGGATATAACGACAAGATGTCCGTTCTGTTGGACAAAGTACTCAATACTATGCATGGGCTAGTTGTCAACCAGGATCGGTTCGATATTATCAAAGAGCGCTTGGCGCGGGCATTCCGCAATGCTGAGTACCAGCAGCCTTACTACCAGGTCGGGGATTATACTCGCTATCTTCTTGCCGAGCGCAGCTGGATCAATGAGCAGTATCTTGAAGAGCTGGAGCATGTTGAGTCCCATGATGTTGTCAACTTCTTCCCTCAACTGCTTGAGCAGACCCACATCGAAGTGCTGGCCCACGGAAACCTGTACAAGGAGGATGCTCTGCGTATGACCGACTCTATTGAGAAGATTTTGGGAGGCCGCCCTCTGCCTCCATCGCAGTGGTACTTGCGCCGCAACATGATCTTGCCGCCCGGTGCCAACTATGTCTACCCCCGGTCGCTCAAGGATCCGGCCAACGTCAATCACTGCATTGAGTACTTCCTCTATATCGGGCTCTTCGCCGACGACGTCCTGCGATCGAAGGTCCAGCTGTTCGCGCAGCTGACTGACGAACCTGCATTCGACCAGCTGCGCAGCAAGGAACAGCTCGGATATGTGGTGTGGAGTGGCGCACGCTACAACGCCATCACTATGGGCTACCGGGTCATTATCCAGAGTGAGCGCACGGCACCTTATCTGGAATCGCGCATTGAGAATTTCCTCCGCGAGTTCGGTTCCATCCTCGAGAATATGCCCGAAGAAGAATTCGAGGGTTACAAGCGCAGCGTCGTGAACAAGCGCCTGGAGAAACTCAAGAACCTAGGCTCTGAGACTGGCCGGTATTGGTCGCATATCGGATCTGAGCGCTTTGATTTCCTTCAGCATGAGACCGACGCAGCCAATGTGCGCTCCTTAACCAAGGCGGATCTCGTTGCATTCTACCAGCAATACATCGACCCCTCTTCGGCCACACGCGCCAAGCTCGCCATCCACATGAACGCCCAGGCAGGCGCGCAGGTTGAGGAGCCCAAACCAGCTGAGCAGAGAACGCGCCTTATCGAAGTAGCCACCGAACACCTCGAAGCCGCAGACTTCATCGTGGATTCTGCCCGCTTCACTACGGCATTCGATTCGGTTGACGCGACAGCGGCGGACAAATCCCAGGTTATCTTTGCTGTGAAGAATTTCCTGACCGAGACCGGCCTGTCGCAGCAGAAGTTTGAGCCTGTCCTTGAGACGCTGGACGAGAAACTCAGTGCTCAGTTAAAGGAGCTGGGTCTTGGCTCTAGCAGTGACATCCAGGGTGCGGCTAATGGCAATGGCGAGGCCCAAAAGCCTGTCATTATCACCGATGTCTCAACCTTCAAGGCAAGCTTGCCTGTTAGCGCTGGCCCTGTTCCTGCGATGGATTTGAGCGTGTATGAGGATTTTGATGCCAAGCTATGAATGGTATACATGGAGTAGGTTTGGTGTTGGTCTGGGTTGCATGTATCCGAGAGTTGGGGTGTTTGTCAATTGAAGGCTATAGTGAAGGATAATAATCAAACAAACTACGTTCAGACGAGTATCATAGTATCCGGCTCTTGTAAGGTTGACAAGTGACCCTAACTACCTCGCTCGGGTGTACAACATAGGGTTTCCGTCAAATGTACTGTTTGCTAGGGCTTCACATATAAAAGGTACATACAGTCAGTCATCGGTTTCTCAACCGCAAGGTCCAAGTTGAGTTAAATTAATTCGACATTGCTATTCTGTCTATATGTTGGGTGACCGGAAGGCGGTCACCCATGTGGGTCCAGATCACTAGATAGCTCCGCTCCCTCTTCCTCTCTCTCTCTCTCGTCGTCCATTAGATCTTAGCGAATCCACACTAGTTGTTTTCCCTTTTCAGGCACAACGTAGTTAGATACGCCATTACTATATATAAAGCTATATAGTATAGTAGCATACTCTCTGAATTACATCAAGTAACTAAATGATGCTATAACTAGTTATTGTTACTAAGTTGTATACTCGATGTTCCACGGTTGAACTTGGGAAGGCGGTCAACGCTGATAAGCGATAGTGACATCGGAGCTTAGACAGCTTGCCGTTCTCGACAATAACAACAATTGCTTCGAAATGGCTACTACCACGCAGGACGTTCCTGTCAGTGGATTTCCGTAAGTAGTATGGATGAAACTCTGAAATGGCAATGCGACCTAACACAAACCTTCTAGGCCCATTGTCCCTAAGGACTTCACCGCTCAGCAGCCGGAGACTGTCCGGCTGTATCCTCTGTCGAACTATACCTTCGGCACCAAGGAGACACAGCCGGAAGAGGATCCTTCGGTTCTAGCACGGCT